TGAGACTAGATTAAAAATACAGTACTGAATATATTCTTACTTTATTTTTTTCAGTGGTTTGTAGAACATTACATGTTTCATAGCTATGTTGTTTTGAAGTTTTAGTAACTGTAGAAGGTTAATATTGAAACAGTGGTGAAGTATTTAGTGAATCAAACTGATTTTGCAAATGTAAGATCATAATTTGCATAAATGTTATAGTTAGGAGATTATAAATGTAAATATGTTTTCTTTCTTCTCAGTCCTCTAAAGCCATTCCTTGTCTAGTGGGAGGTCGAGGTGATGTTGAGACTGCTATTTAACCTGTTACAACAGCTTCAAAAAATAAATAACATTGATATAAATCTGAAAATGAATATTTACTTCTATTAAGCAACATAAAAAACTATGTAAGAATAGCAGTCTGGTGGATGTGCATCAGGGAGTGAAATCCTTAAATTCAGATGACAATTACAATCATAAGGATATTGCCTCCCACGTATAACTATTGTGTATTTTCTTTTGTCTAAGCTAATTTGGAGTTTTTGAGGTACTGAGTATAGCTTTCAGTTTTTTTCATTACCTCTGAGCATGTTTATTTTACAAAAGCAATGGAAGTTTTATTGGACTATGATTTTGATAGATAATGCTATGTAGATAGTTCATGATTGATATTAGATTGTCTTATTGTGTAACTATTTCCTGTGATTAAAAAAACACATTTAGTGATAAAATTATTTAAACATATTTTAGCATGTTTGACTTGCTGTGGCATACTAAGAATTTTAAGGCTTAGATTGAGGAATGATACAATAATATTGGCATTGAGAGTTATTTGGTTAAATAATCATAGTTTTTAAATTAATTTCATCATGATCTTTGGTATCTTATAAAAATGATATATTACAGGGCTCAAAAGCTGGATCAGTGATTAAGAGTGCCAGCTACTTTTGCGGAAGAATTGGGTTCAGTTCCTGGCACATACATGGTGGTCAAAAACAGTCTGTAGCTCTAGTTCCAGGAAATCTGATGCCCTCTTCTGGCCCTATGGACATTACACACATGGGTTCACTTACATACATGCAGACAAAAAAACCACATCATATGCATAAAACAAAAATAAATATAAACTCTTTAAAATGGTATTATATATCTTTAATGTTTTGAAAATTGTAAATACCTGAGAAGAAATGTTCTTAGGCATTTTGTAAGATACCTTTTGCTGGAAGTTTAGTAGTATGCTCTTCAGTTATTAAAAGGCATATAGTTTAGATAGCTTGTTCCTACAAGGTCATTGGCTGTTGAGTTCTAGAGAGGAAAAAAGTATAACAGTCTTACTTTTAAAACTTTGTATTTAGAAATACAGATACTTTTTTTTAAACCACCCTCTGTCATTTTACTATTTTTTTAAATTCTTAGGTATTTTTTTCATTTCACTTTTGGTAAGTAACTTGTACTTTAAGATCACAGTTATTAGGTGTATTTCTGCATTTTATATATCGCTCCCAGATGCTCCAGTATTAGTTTTTATCACTGCATATTTTATGAAATGTCAGCCTTCTGTTGGCTGTTCTCACAGCATTGTTAGCGATCAAAGACACAACATAAAGGAAAAGAATCTAAACAGTTGGCTTATCTTTGTCCTTCATTGTGACAGAAATACTACAAAACTACTTATTATAAAGTCAAATTTTGACATCATGTAATATACAAAGAAATGTCTGTTTTTAGTGAAGTAAAATGCTAAAATGTTTAATATGTTGAAACTCAGTTACAATATAAGGCAAAATAATTTCCATTTTCACCAAGTTTTCTTGCTAAGAAATGAAAGTAATAGGTGACATGTAATGTTGTAATATTTACTGAATGACAGTGCTGCGCCTTGTTACCTAGCCACATAGTATAAGAAGTTAAAGTTCACTTTGTTTTGCAAAATGCATTTTATAAAAGTGGTTATGAGTTTTAATATATGCATTAAGTTATGTTCTAATGTATTCTAATATCTGTTTACCTACTCTTATAGTTTAAAACATCATTGATTCAAAGATTTATCTTTTATGTCAGTAGACCACAGTATCAACATAAAAATATAGAATGGGAGAAAATTTTCAAACCTAAAAGAAAATCTCTAAAAATAAAACTCTTGAATGATTTTGATCAGCTATTCTGTATGCCCAACACAGCAGTTTGTCCAATCAATTTTGTGTTTTGGGATGGTTTTATTAAAATGAGCTACTGTTTTTGGTAAATCATTGAGAGGGATGCTGCTTTCTGTATTTCCTTTTTGGGTGACAAGGTCTACACTTGCAAGCCTTTTAAGTGAGTAAAAGTAGAGACAACTCCTGACTACCATGAACATTGATGTATTTCTGTGTTGTCAGTGTGGATATTTAGAAACAGAAGCAGAGTGAAGATTTAGACCAACCATTGGCTTTGTGTAAATATAGTTTTGTGGCTACCTAAAAATAATAGTCACCAGATAATAGTGGCATATGTATCTTTGTATTTCTTGTATAGTTTTTATTTTTATTAAGTGATGAATGTGAATTGTTTTCTGAGGGAAGATTTATGTCTTTGGAAAGCAGCTTGAAAGGTAAAGCAATGGGTATCAGCTACAGCCATCAACTTTTTGTTCTGTTTGTGCTGTATTTTTGTTATTTAACATATGATGTATAGAGCAATATCGTTGTTGCAACCTTACAGATTTCTAGAATTACAGAATCTTGGATCCATCGTCATAACTTTTAATTGTCTACATTTTATCAAAATTTCCAGGCAATTCATATCGACATTAAAATTTCAGAAGCACTACTGTAAAACATCTCTCTTTTGCTTTGTGTGTGTACATGTTTTAATTGTGGTATATTGATACTGAATTTTGGTCAGGGATAGTTCATACTAGAGGAGACAGAAAATATAGAATTTTAGTATGACTCAGGAGTAGGCAGGTATTTATGAGAGCTCATAAGTTCTTGTCTGTAAGAAGTTACAGTCAGAAACAGCAGCTTCTTTGATTACATGTGTAAAGCTTCTTACCCTGCTGGTGTCAAGCAGGTATTTTATTTGGCTGAGACATGGTCTTTGCAAGTTTCCAGAAACATTGTGTTTAATTCCCTCCAGAAATACAGAAAGCATTTTCAAAGTGTGTTCTACAACATATTTTCTCCAGGAGACGTTCTGAAAAGTATGGCTTGGTCAAGTAAGTTTGGAAAGCACTGAATACATTGTTCCTTATCAGGAAATATTTTGACATATTAAAAGATCTAGAAACCTAGTTTAGTTATTTCTGTTGCTGTGATAAACTACCATGACCAAAAACAACTTAGGGAGGAAAGTTTATTTTGGTCAATGGTTACTGAGGGATACAGCCATCATGGTGGGAAGACATGGCAACAGGCAGGCATGACTTGGCATCAGGATCAGGAAGTTGGTTGATCATATTTTCATCCACACACAGGAAACAGATAGAGTGAGAATAGAAACTGGGGTAAATCTGTCAACCCTCAAAGCCTGCCCCAGTGATATTCTTCCTGTAGCAAGGCTTCACCTCCTAAAGGCTCCACAACCTTCCCAAACAGTGTGACAAACTAGGAAGCAAATGTCTGATACATGAGCTTGTCATGGTTATTTCTCATTCAAATAACTATACCTGCTGTAACTTATTTAGTTCAGCATTTTCTGGATTTTATTTTCCTTTAAAAAGAAAACCAAACTTTACTAACTTGCCCTTTAACATGTGCACAAACTGGATTCTCTTCACTAAAATAATAGATGGGAACAGCTTTTCAAGCTGTCATGGTGCTATGCTACATAAAATACACTTTTTAATATTGTTAAGTACACATGGTGGTCTTGTTTGCTGATGGAATTTAATGTACAAACATTGAGGATTGGTGTAATTAAGAAAACATCTAAAGCAGGTAAATGTTGAATTGACTCTGGTCAGATTTGCTGTGAAAGTGGAAGGGAGGAAATTGAGTGAGTTTTCCTGATGTTTTGCCAGTAAGAGGCAAATGAGCAGTGCAAGTTAAGCATTTCAGTTGAAAGGATGAGAGAGGCTTTGTACTATGAACTACAGTAGTTGAAAAGATACAGATCTGTCCTCTATTTATTTATGGTTATAAATAGGTACAATTTAGAAAATACCTGAAAACGTGAATCCAAAATATGCAATTTTCTTTGGGCATTTGCAAAAACTAAGGTTGTTCAATATGCTGTATTCTGAAGCACCAGAGACAGAATAAAGCAGGAGTGATAGGACCTTCTGCTTAGGGGAAATAGGGAAAAAGACAATTGCAGAAACAAATCTCCATGGTAAGATTGGAAAGAAAAAATCATGTTGAAAGTCCTTTGTATATTTGTTGTGTACGTGTGTGTGTGTGTGTGCACGCACGCACATGCGTGTGTACCAAGGACCTGTATGCGCATGAGTGTAGCCAAAGATAGACAGATATTGGATGTCTTCCTCTATCACTTTCAGCCTTATTCCCTTGAGACAGGATTTGCCACTGAACGTAAAGCTCACTGGATGTCTAGGGAACCGTTGGAATTCACTTGTCTCAGCTCCCGCAATGCTGGGGTCACAGCCATGCATGGCTATGCCTGGTTCTTTTGTGAGTGCTTGGAATTTGAGCTCATGTCTTCATGCTTGCAAAGCAAACACTTGTATCTCCTGAGTAATCTCTCCAACCTCACCTTGGAAATCTTAGAACTGAAAAAAAATTAATTTGACTAAATACCAAACAATGCAGCACGCTGTTAAAGGCAATTCAAATTTCTGCCGTGGATTACACTGGGTTCACCTTTTGGTTACTTTATATTGCCACAATATAGGGAAATAATATGGTGGGAAAATTACACATGTCTATCTTAAAATTTTTTTTTTTAGTTAGTAATAATTTTCAAACACAGAAGTTGTAAGAATAATAGTATAATTGTGTAATTGTTGTGTCTTTGTCTTGTTGCTTAGACAAATTACCTGAAAAAAAGCAACTTAAGGATGGGTTTATTTTGGCCTACAGTTCAAGGGTACAATCCATCCCGTTGGGGAAGCCAATAAGAGACCTGAACTTGAGGCACCTGGTCACAATGAATGTAGTCAAGAAGTAGAGAGTGGTGAGTACTAGTACCCAGCCCACTTCACCTTTGTATTCCAGGACCCCAGTCCATAGAGTGCTACTTTCCATGAGTTCATGTAATCACTAGGGCTTCTTCTGTGTTGATTTTAAGCTTTATTGCATTGTGGTCTGATAGAATGCATGGAATGATTTCAATTTTTTTCTGTTTGTTGAGGCTTGTTTTGGGCCCCACTCAGTATGTGGTCGATTATGGAGAATGTTCCATGAGGTATTGAATAGGAAGTATATTCTTTGGTGCTTGGGTGGAATATTCAGTAGATGTCTGTTAGATCCATTTGATGTATGGTATTGCATAATTCAGATGTCTTCTGTTTATTCTTTGTCCTGTTGACCTGTCTAATGGAGACAGTAGGCTATTGAAGGCCCCTACTATTAGTGCGTTGGGATTAATCTGGGTCATAAAGTCTTGTAGTATTGTTTTTATGAAGTTGGGTGCATCAGAGTTTGATGCATATATGTTCATGATTGCATATATCTTCTTGGTCAATTGTTCCTTTAATCAGAATGAAGTGTCCCTCTTTATCTCTTCTGATTATGTTTGAAGTCTATTTTGTCAGATATTAGAATTGCAACTCCTGCTTTTTTTTGAGTACCATTTGCTTGGAATATTTGTTTCCAGCCTTTCACCTTTAAGGTAGTGCTTGTCCTTGAAGGTGAGATGGGTTTCTTGGAGACAACAAAAAGATGGATTTTTTTCCTTAATCCATTCAACTAGCCTGTGTCTTTTGACTGGGGAGTTCAGTCCATTGACATTTAAAGCTATTGAAAGATGTGTATTGATTCCTGTCATTTTAATTTCTGTTTGCATTCTTGGTCTGTCTTTTCACAGTGATACCTCCATTTAGTTTTTTCCGGTTACCCCTTAGGTATAGTCTTTCCTTTCTTCAGCTCTTTGTATTGCTTCAAGAATTCAAGAGCTGGTTTTGTGGACATGAATTCTTTCAACCTATTTATGTTGTGGAAAAGATTTTTCTTTCCCCTTCAACTTTAATAGACATATTTGCTGGCTAGAGTATTCTGGGTTGGCATCTGTGGTCATTTAGAACTGAGAATCCTGTGGTCTAGGCTTTTTTTTTTTTTTTTTTTTTTTTTTTTCCTTGATGTGAAACCTGCATCAGCCAGTCATTACAATCTCTCTCTTTCCACATTCAAATCATTTAAGTATCAGTATTAGCAGATATTAACATTTGCCTGATTTTACTCATTTGTGCAAGAAAGGCTGAAAGAAAGGTTCTCAATGTTTTCACTCTTGGAATTTAATCTATCTGAAATCACCATTTCTCTCCAAGTGTCTGTCCTTATTTTTATCTAATGTAGAAAAAGTAGGTGTCTATTTCTTACAGTACACAGACCCTGAGAGGTGTTCAAAGTTAATTTCTTCCTACTGAAAAATGAGAAGATTGAAATCTACAAAGGATTACTGCCTGCCCTGTCAGAACATGTCACAGGAGGGGCAGATTGTCTAAATGTGACCCAAAGACTCCACCCTGGGTTACTTGGGCCGTAAGCCAGCTGTACTTCAGCATGAGTTTTCACCCCTCCAGTGAATTTTCTCCCCTCCTTCACCCTAGCCCTCTGCAAAGAGGATGAAACACCTGATGAGTCCAGGTGGCCATGTGCAATACTGCTGAAAATCCCAGGTAACTCTGGCACAGCTGGCACTGAAAGCCAACCCATCCAGTGTGGTGCAATGAGGTTTCCTTTACTGCCATTACATTGCTATTATGCTTGTCCCATAAAGAGGCAGCTCACACGAGGGCAAGGCTTCTGGCAGGGATGCACAACCTGACCCTGTACTACTTACCCAACAGAGAGCACCCAACACACCTCTTTCTGAGGATTCCAAGTGTGGGCAGCGTGTTTTTTGTTGTTGTTGTTGTTTTTTTGTTGTTGTTTTTTTTGGTTTTTTTTGCTAACTCAGGCTTTTGGCTCCTCTGTCCTTGCCCACCCCACAAGAGCTCTTTTCTTGACTTTACATGTGACAGCGTAGAATAGGCCCTGAGTCCTATCACAAAATAGGTGAGCATCTATGGGGACCTCTTGTGTGACTATGATAGCCATGGCAGTACATCTACAGAGCCAGCAGGTAACAAGAGCAGAAAAGGGAACCTAGGTCCAGACTCCAGATTTCCAGTCTGCTACATTGTTACAACTCATGACAAAATACTTTAGCATGCACATAATATGTATGATCACACAGGACAGTCTCACATATATAGCCCAGGGGAAGTCATTTAACATTCAACATGCCTTCATGGGAAATACAACAAAGGTGAGTAAATGACATTTGAAATACTCTCTGAAAACCCCACACTCAAGAGGCAGCTGCTTCCAAGCATCCCAACCAACCTGATTTCTGATCAGCCTTACTGTTGTAATTAATTAGCATAATGGATGTTAGAAAATATTTTCATTGCGGAAGTGAGGGTACATAGGTTGAGTAAACGCATTTCTGGGCATTCTCATCCCATTTTGAGTATGAGTTAAAAGGCCACTGAAACTAGTTATTCTGACCTCCAGAATAGCAGCCCAGAGCTGGGGGTCACAGCCAGGACTTAGGGAGGATTGTCATCTCACCCCAGTTAGAAGGTCAACACTATCTTTACTCAAGGATTTCTTCATCTACCAGTACATAAAATGCTGAAAGGGAATCTAAGAGGCAGGGAGCTGAGACTTCTCAAGTGACCCTTACTATGTCTGTCTGCTCATAAGTTACTATACATGTAATAGAATTCACTCTGGGGTTTATTTTCACTAGAATATAAGACAAGGAATAAAGTTTAGGAGGCAAAAATTAAATAAATAAATAAATAAATAAATAAGCAAGCCTATATTTCTCACCTATCTCTAAATAATGCAAGTGGTTACTATCAGGCAAAAGGACACTCACGTAGCAAGTGACCTAAAGCCTTGGGTACAATCATAGCAATGTTTATGCTCACCACTGTTCACTGAACCATCACTTGCCCATTGTTTTCGTGTGTTGTCCTGACTAAGGAGCATAACACAAATTCAAATCACTTCAACAGACTGGAATATGGGCTTCAGGCAGTGAGAGATAAATGTGAGGTCTCATAGTCAAGGTCAGAATATGTCAGTTATAAGATTATGGGAAATGAGGAAAGATTGAGTTTACAGCAGGCTTATATCAGAATCCATGAATGCTGGCTTTATAGACATTTAGAGTTAAACCATACCCGGCTCATTCCCGTGTTTTCTTAAAAACACAGGACTGCTTGAACTGTCCAATTCATCAACTTTATCATGCAGTCTTTATATTCTGTTTTCCATTTCATTCATTCTATTGGTGAGGCTTTCTCCTGTTGTTTCTAATAGGATTATTGAGTGTTTCACTTCTTCATTTCAGCCTGAGTTTTCTTCAATATTTTTAAAATATTTCATTATTTTTATTTTATTTTATTTGTTTGAGTGTATTGCCTGCATGTGTGTTAGTGCACCTGTGTCATGCAATGCCTGCAGAGGACAGAAGAGGCTGTCTGATCCCCTGGAACTGGAGTTATGGACAGTTGTTAGCTGCCATGCGTGTGCTGAGATTCAAACCTGGGTCTTCTGCAAGAACAACCAGTGTTCTTAACCGCTGAGCCATCTCTCCAGCCCTGTTTTCTTCAATATTTTTAACTCTTTCGTGAATTCAGTTGGAAGTTTATCCGTATCTTCTTTTAGTTCTTTGATTTGTTTGTTTGTGCATTCTTTAAATTCACTGAATTTTTTGATCATGTTTATAATTGTTTTTTTGAAGTCTGTGTCCTGGGTTATTTCTAGGGGGCTTGCATTGTAAAACTCTTCTATAGGACTGTTGGTGCTTGGTGGAGACATATTATTTGGGTTTTTCCATATTATTTTTTTTTTCATTGTGACTTTAGCATGTAGATTTCTTTTTTTGTTTCTGATTCTTATGTGAGACTCAAGCCTTCCTTTGTTGAGTTTAAGTTTGTATCTGTTTGTATACTTGATGTGACTTTGTTATTTTCTTATTGGGTATGAAAAGCTGGTTGGTCTAGGTTTTCTCTTTTGATTCTCAACAGCTACCTAATTGGACTAAAAGCCCACTCAATGGGAGGAAACTCAACTGTGGTACTATAAACATAGCCAAATACACATGCCTGGAGAGGTCACAGATCTTAGAGAAAACCCCAAGACTGTTGCATCCCTAGACTGATGTAATTTCTAGCTATGTATGTATCCATGTATCTATAGACAAATATCCCAGTCAACACTCATCAAAGATGCTTCTTTTGTACCAGATGGAGACTCCTACCAAGTACCACAACTGGTTACACCAGACATTGTGTATGAATTGCCCAGGCCTAAACTACACATCTACCAAGCAATCTCTATACCTAAAGTGCACTGAACATAGAACAGGGGCAATGAAGAAGACACTAACGAATCTCTCAGTTCTCATTTAATGAAGCTCCCTCATGCAGTGGAGGTCCAGGAACACAACAGGCCACAAATGGCCAAAGTATAGAGAAAGAATCTGCTGAATGCTGGTCCTTGGGCAGGACTGCTATATTAAACTTCACCCACCCAAGGCTCAGGGGCTGTCACGGAAGAGGGGGCAGAAAGATTGTAAGAGCCAAGGAGGAAATGCATGACCATATGGAAATAAGAGTCCTACAAACTCCTGGGACCCTGCTCATATGTTTCTATAGCAGTGGTATCAGCATACACAAGCCCCATGCAAACTCAGGCAGACAAAAACCCAGCATAGAACTGGGGAAATGAACAATAGACCCCAATCTAAGCTGAAGAAACTTTGGCAATTGATTACTGGTAGATGAGGAAGTCCTGATCTTCCTAAAACAAGAGACTCTAGATAGGCTGACTAGACCTAAGTGGATGGAGTTGCACTGGGGAATATCTGGGGACACTGACTTGACACATTGGCCCTTAACACGGATGACAGAGTATATAGGTTCCAGTGGGGGTCTATGGGAGGCTGCTGGTGGGGTT